ACAGGAGAGACAGGGGGAGAAAGAAAAGGAGGGTAAACAGGTGACAGGAGGAATTGAGGAGAGATCAGGACACACAGTCATGACCAGTGCTTGTTTCTAGTGCAGCAATGCACATCTGCACTTCACAGCTTGTGGTCTGTGCTCTGGAGCTGCTGAAGGTCTAATGGCTTCTTCCACTGCTGTGCCATGATGTGCCATGTCCTTGTCTGGGCATTACAGGCCCAGGAGGAAACTTTTAGGGGAAAGCTGCTCAGCATTAACTGTGCTCAGCAGGGCAGCATGGGCACCGTCTCCCTGGCTGAATGATGAACGGCCTCAGCACTGCAACCTCCACAAAAATGCACTTGCCTGAGTCTCTTCATGGCTCCTCACTGGCCTCCAGAGCCTAATTCCTGAAATTAGGTACTAGGGCAGAGGTTTTTGGTTTCCAAACTAGACAATGTGCTGGAGAGTGGCCAGAGGCTGTGGGTACACGAGCAAGGGTGGGGTAATTTGGGGGGAAGCTTTCTGCCTACAGGGAGAGCAGGATGCGTGAGAGCAGGTCTACAGCTCTCAGCTGGAGCAAAAATTACTGGCAGATTATCATCTTGATAGCAAGATTTAGTGCAAGGAGGCCAGGCCAGGTGAGTCACCCTGCTGCTGCTGCCAGTCGTTGGGGCTGCTGATGGCTGTGATAACCCAACCAGCACCCAGTGGGGACCAGCAGGGAGATTGCCAGGTTAGTTATGGAGCTGGGCACTCTGGAATGTCAGCAGCTGCTGCCTGTGCCCCTTTGCAGCATCACATACTGGAGAGGACAGAGCCCAGGGCCTGAGGCATGCCAGCTTTTGCCACTTGTTCCTTGGGTGGACTGCACCCTGAACACAGTGCAGCCAGTCCTATCCAGGAATTGGGTGCAGAAGCAGATTTTGCTCCACTGCAAGCTCCTCCTCTGGAGTGCACATGAGGAGCTGAACAGCTCCCAGCCCCAGCATGGCAACAGCTGAACCTGGCTCACTGAGCCACGGTCAAGCACCAGGGACTAAAACCTGTGGCAAGCCCAAACAAAAGGTCTTAAAGAACTAAAGCCAAAGGGAATAAATTCCCCAAAACAAGAAAGAGCCTCTCTGGCTGTTTTTAAGAAGGCCAGGCCGTGGTGAGACAGGAAGGTCTGGGCTCTGCTGTCCTCAGTTCAGCCATTTGCCACAGCAGATGAATGAGCTCAGATACCTGTGCTTTGCTTCACAGTGTGCATACCCAGCACTTCACCTATCCCAGCAGATGGTGTCACATCAGGTGGAGTTTTGAGACTGTGGTCTCTTACCCTCAGTGTGGGTCTAAATACAACTGGGATGAGCTCCCAAACAGTCCTGTTCAGTCTGTGAGCCAGGGATCACATCACACCAGAGGGTGTGGAGAGGCCCTTGACACCAAAATGTTTTGACAATCAAACATCCCCAAGAATCTCTAGGCATTGAGCACAGCTGCTGCAGGGGTGGCTAAAGCAGCTTTGAGCTGTTCAGAGCTACACAGACACATAACAGAGAGCTCAGCAAATCCTTCCTGAGAAGTGGTGTGAACTCTTGGGTTACTGCTGCACGCAGAGCCAGCTGGCCTCTCTGCACACCCCGTGCCACCTATGCTGGTGAGTCTGATGGGAGCCCCAGTCTGTGGAAGCTGAGATTCTGGTGCACGCTGGTGCTGCTGACTGCTTGGTTTCCAGGAGCCAGGTGCACCCTACAGAGCACAGGAAAGCCATCACCCTCCACCAGCCCATCCCACAGCAGAAAGAAACAGAGATTGCAGATGCTGCTGAACGGTCCCTGCAGGCATGAGGCTGCACAGACTCACCACTGTAACCAGCAAAGGATGGAGAGCTCAGACTCCCTGGCTGACACTACTGCAACTCCTGCTAGGGAGCAGAGCTAGTGGCTGGCCCTGCTTTGCTCTGGGGGTCTCTCCCCCATGGATGCACTCTAGGCCCAAACACATCATCCTCCTGCAGGGGCTCCCATCTTCCCTTTGCTCCAGGTGGAAGCAGTGACTGGATGTGATGAAGTGCTACTTGGCTTAAAAAATCTTTACATGGTGCAATTTGTTGCTCAGGGGCTGCAGCTGGACTAGATTAGATTGCGCTGGGCTAACCAGAGAGCTTTTTTTCTGTGTTTCTTCAGCTAGAAACTAACCACAAATCATGAAGCAGCAAGAAGACCTAAAAAAATGTTCATGTGTGAAATGCCTTCTCACAGAGCAACTCCAATTAACAAAAGGTCAAAAGAGAAAATAAAAGTAATCATTGGGGTCAGAGCTTGTACAGTGCACTGAGTATTGAAATAACTCACCCTGCTGCAGTCCAGCTACATGATTTTCTGTTTGCTTTGCCCTAATTTTTGGGTGTTTTACAGTGATAGGAATGTTAAATTAAACTCCTACACTAGAAAACAACTGGTGGCAATGGAAGTGGGGTAATTTCATGAGTGAACTGTGACAGAACCATGTGAGAAGCATTATAGTCTTATTTTGGTTTAAATTTGGAGGCAAAAGTACACCTCAGTCCTTATTTTGTTGAAATGGCTTATTCAGCTCAAGAACATATTTTGCATCCCTATTTCCCCTTCTGCACAGTGGAATATGATGCCCTGCTCTGCTTGTCATAGCTCAGATCCTGTCTTACATTTCTGAAATGCCTTGCATGCTGGAGACTCATGGCATGCTTGACAAACTGCTGTATACACGGCCAGAATCAGACATGCAGCCACTTCTGGGGTGGAAGGCAGCAGGAACTGCATGTGCTGCACTGGGGGGAACAAGATTCTGTTCTGGAAGAGATGCTTTTGCATAGCAGGTCATTAACATCAATCTCTGGACAGCCAGCAGGCTCCTGGCTACGAGTTTAGCTGCATCTCAAGAACTGGAAAATTTACTACTGGGATGTGAACCTGTAGTTCCAGGCAATCTATTTCTGCCTAACCTGCAAGGCTGTCAGTAGCTGTTTTAATCACTTACATACACTATAGAACAATAATAGATAAATATCATTGTAGATCTCAGCCTCCTGCACCTTTTGGAAGGGGTTATGTCTTCTCAAAGGATGTTTTTGAGACAGGAGTCAGCATCAGGTGGAAAAGGAATGAAGTTGCCAGAAAAGAGTCATCTTCTCTCTCCCACCTCCATCATCTGCATGTCTCTTTGCTCCCTGCCCCACAATGAAAGAAGGAGGCACATCCTGGTGGTTGGGATGGCAAAGGTGGAGAAGGAGGAAGGACACAGCTTGGGCTGTGGTTCTCAATGAGCTGCATTAGCTGCAGAGACTGAGGAGTGCATGGCAGTAAAGTTGTGACACAGGTTCTGTTCTCCCAGTGCCTTCTGCAGTGCAACATTGCAGCCCTCGGGGTCCTGCACATCGTTCTCTAGCTGAAGAGAGCAGTGTGACAATACAATTGACTATCACATGATGCCTGGAGCTGGCATGTTCTCACTGAACACACCCTTTAATTCAGGCTCCCAAACCTACTCCCATATAAAATGCCAGATTCCAGACATTCTGCATCTTTCATGACACTTACCTGGAGTCATTTGCCATAGCCTACCTGCTCATCTCTGTCCCATTTCTCAAAAACCTGGATGCCAATAGCATGTCCTGGTGGTCAGAGAGAGGTTCCAGCAAGGTTCTTGCTGAGGTATCTGCTTGTTGTCTTCCAGAATTTGGGAAGGTACCAGTGAAAAGGCAGGTGATGCTTAGCAGATTGAAAGTTGACCAATAGCACCTCCAACCTGGCCAAAGTGCTGCTACCAGCTTCTCCCTCAACTGGGCATTAGTTTACTTGTTTTGATTTTAAACAGGCCTAAAAATTGGCTATTCTAGAGGAAGGAGAAAGGCAGGAAGATAATTTCTTTTTCCATGCCAGCCTTTTTTAACATCATTCTGATGCTACATGAAAAGAATGATGCCTCTTTCTTCCTGCACAATGAGGAGGTACAGAGGAAAGTGCAGTGCATGTGGCCCTGAGCACTGCCTGAGGCAGCTGAAGAGACCTGGTTTGTAGCCACACACCCAAGTGCTGTGGTGTGTGTCCTACCTCAGCCTGAATCACAGCTTCCAGCAGGACAGAACACCTGGGTTTGCAGGGAATGCTGCCTTTGGCTGCAACCAGCTCCTCATTCACAGGAAACCACAGCCCTGAGTATGCTGAAGCTGAAACTCAGGTAAGCATCTTTATGCAGTGGGCAAACTACAGCTGTTTTTTAGACAGCATTTCCATTTTGGTGGAGTAGAGGTTACAGAATGGTTGGCTGTAAAATGGTATCTAACATAATGAAAAATCAATTGTTGCTGACATACAATAACCCTGAGCCAGTTGATCTATCCCTGGTTCCCAGTGGCCATGAGGACACAACAGACTCCAAAGCAATCAAGTGAATATTCTGGATACAGGGCTGCAGGGTGTTGGGTACCCTGCTAGCTGAAGTTTGTTGGAATGTTAACTTAATTTCCTAAGCACTGATGCAGGAGTGAGAGGCCACTGGTGAGCCTATGTACCAGCCGGTCTTTATAAGGAATGGTGGCTGAACTTGGCTGAGGCTTCACCTCCAAAGCCAGTGTCTGGATAATGAGATGGAAATCAGTAAACAGAAGAAAATCAAACTCATTCCAGGCTCCACCTTTCACTGCCACCATACACCATCCCAGATGCTTCCTGTTCCTCAACAGCATCTTCTACCTTGAGACATTAGAGAGAGTGTTTCCTTTCGTCTCAAAAAGCAGCATGTGGGGCAGACAGAAAACAAAGCACTGATATCTCAGAGCCACATCTCTGCCTTGTGTATTTCTGTACAGTACCCAAAAACCATTGGGGTGGGCAGCCCTGGGATAGCCAATACCTCCAGCCCTGACTCTTCTCTCTGACCATGGGCAAATGCAGCTCTGCTTTGGGCCAGGATCTCGTAGCAGCCTCCAACGTCATTTGTTCCGTCGCCTGGACCTGTTGTTTCAAATGTGCAGGGGGCCAGGGGATATATTTGTTGATAGTATATATGTCGGTTACTACCAGGACTGCAGTTTTAAGGATTTTCCACATATCGTGTGTCCTGTATCCATCCACATTGCAGTGCAGTGATCCAGACACAACACTGACAGCTGCAGGGTAAATAAATAAAAACAGAGTATTTTGATCTTGGAAGGGGAGGTGGTTTGGAGGGGAAGGGAGGGGGGCAGGGTGTCAGCAGCCAGAACAGGGTGGCCACAGCTGTGATGGGAACAGATGCGGCGCAGGGAGCGGGAGCAGGGAGCATAAAGTTCTGCCAATGTGAGCAATGCTGGAGAGTCTTGGAGAATGGCATGCATATTTGGGACAGGTGGGAAGTGTTTACATTGAAATAAGAAGGATGATGGCCTGACAGAATGCTGGTCATGTTACCTGTGACCCAAATTGACCAGCCACAGCTCTTGTGGGCCCAGAACATCTGAGACCATCATTTCTTTGTCACAGCAGGGCCCACTGAATTCATGCAGGGTTCTGTGCAGTGGTAGTGCTGCTGCTGCTTAGAAGTGTTTTGTCCCTCTCACAAGATAGCTGATGTTGCCTCTAAGCCAGAATTTATCCTAGTCTAGCTTGTGGTGGGTCTCTGTAGGATCCCTGTGCAAGCCTTGAACCAGGCAGCTACAAGGCAATATTGAGACCTGAGCCAGAAAAGCTGCCAAGCTGCCAGTGTGGTCTCCAGCACAGCTGGAGCACAGCTGGCAGTGCCCAAGGACACATACCTGACTCACCCCAAACAGCAGCTCTGCTGTGGCTGGGTCCTAAGCTGGTTACATTGGTTTATTGGCTTTGGTGCTTGGCTTTTGTTTTGGTTGTTTTGGTTGTAGTTTTGTTTTGGTTGTTTTTATTTTTTTTTTGTAAGTCTAGAAGAAGTTTCTCAATTGATGTTTAAATGATGAAACAACTAGAGTTGCACACCTTTCAGATTCTCAGAAGCAGCCTAGCTGCCAGGAGGAGCTCACTGAGGCTCTTGCAAAGCAGGTAAGCTGCTGCTGCCTGACTGAAGTGGCATTTGGATACAAAGCAGTTGTGCTGTGTGCTCTCTGCTGATGGTCATTAAAGACAGGAGGTTGTGGGCCTTGTTGCAGAGCATCTTTGCAATGATTCACTGAATTTCCTCCATCCAAAGGACTAATGATGCAAACAAAATCCTCCTTCTGGCCCTTTATACCCTTTCCATAAAGCATTAAGGGCTGTGTTTTTCAAGAACCCTAGAGGCACATGTGTCCCCATTTAAAATTAGTGGAGGGCTGGGAACCCATCTCCCTGAGGTGCTCTTGAAACCCCAGCTAAAGGGGTTTAGCTGAGCCCAGCAAAGGCAGACAGCATGGCTCTGTCACACCTGCATTACCCAAGGGTGGCAAGGAGACTTGTTCAAGGTCATTTTATGTGGTGCACTGAAGAATAGAGACCAGAGGATCCATCTCCTAAGCCTCCAGTCTGCCTCCAAGCTTCCCTTTTTCTCCTGGCTGCTTGCAGTTTTGAGTGACCCATGGCAGAAGAAATCCTTCTGACTGCAGCTATATCAAAGGAGGATGCTAAAAGGCAGCTTGCAAGAAAGTTTGAGCATTTCTAATCAAGTTGGAGAAAGGCTCACAAAGTCATGTTGAGAGACATTCCCAGCATTTATTCACACCCTAGCCCCTAGATAAAAATGGCTTTGTATGTTAAGTTTAGGACCACAGAAAGCCCAGTGGATAGCAAGGGATTATCACAAAAGGGTAGCAAGGCAGTCAAAAAGAGCCTGAGGGACACTTTGTATGAATTCCATGAAGAGAATAATTAATTCAAACTGTACACAGACAGCTCTGGGAGTGTCCACTCTGGAGATGTTCAAAGAGTCCTTTCCTGCCTTGGGCTCACTTTAAATCGAGTGTCCTAAAAACCCACCTCAGCTATGCATTTCTTTTTTAGTTGTACAGAATGCTTGAATGCCAAGGGATCAGGGAAAACTTTGTTATTAAAGAGCTGCAAGATTTTAACAAGGTACATAGTCATTAGAAAGTTGTTGAGTCATGAAAATACTCTCAATAATTTGAAATTAATGTTTAGTGTGTGCTGTACCATAAAAATGCTTAGATGTCGTGGCCATGGATACTAAAGAAAAGCCTTAAGGCCATGACTACATGAGCAAGTTACCACAAGGTGAGCAAGGGTGGAATTTTAGAGCACACCACTTAGAATAAGGTAACTTCCCTTTTTCCAGCTCTTGTCCTGGGACCAGGGAAGGAGTTTAAGTCCTTGCTGAACATGGCACAGGCTGCCTTTTGAAGGCTGCAGGCTGAGGGCATGAGTGTGGCTGGGTGCAGCCACAGAATAGATAAGGTGCAGTAAATCTGTGCAATAACTGATCTTATCTTTTATTAACTTTGCTCTCCAGCACAGATGCAAGGATGGATGCACTATGTGTAACAGCCAATGCCATAGAAATTACACAATCAGATAATTAAGAAGGTGAATAGAAAGGGCTGGACCAATGTGAAGATTCTTTTTCATAAGAACAAATATATATATGCATATATTAATAAATTCTTTCAAATAACAAACAGGGGTCTAGTTTCCTTATACCAGTGCCTCTATTGACAAGGCTGGGAAAAATGACAAACTAACAAGTGTTTTCTTCTCTCCTTTCTTTTCCAGAAATACACAGTTATCTGATTTCAGACTGCTTCAGGTAATCTGTCCATTCCTTTCCATTCTGGGATTGTGCCAGGCAAAGTTCATAGAGTTTCATTTATGATTTGTGAAACTTATTTGTGGAGTTTGTTCCTGATGAAACAGGGCTTCTATTCCAAATGAAGGATTCACCCTAGAGCCTGGCCTGAGTCTGTCCAATGCTAGGTGAAGAAACACTGTCTTTCTAACCCAAGTCCAGGATATCCTGGAGATTTTTATTTTCAGCACAGTAATGATCTTTCCTTTCCTTTCCTTTCCTTTCCTTTCCTTTCCTTTCCTTTCCTTTCCTTTCCTTTCCTTTCCTTTCCTTTCCTTTCCTTTCCTTTCCTTTC